AGAAAAAAATATATATATATTTTCTAACAGTATATACATAATATGCCTACAAATAATCAGATAACATATCCAGTTAATGTTATGTACTTTGATTTAAAAAATAAATTATAAAAAAAGAAAATATATATATATTTTCTAACAGTATATACATAATATGCCTACAAATAATCAGATAACATATCCAGTTAATGTTATGTAATACTTTGATTTAAAAGTATTAATTAAAGGCCTTGGCCAGGTAGCTCATTAGGTTAAAGCATTGTTCTGATACACTAAGGTTGCATGTTCCCTGGCAGGGCACATACAATATACAACCACTGAGTGCATAAATAAGTAGAAGAACAAATCGATGTTTTTCTCTCTCCTTCTCTCTCTATCCCCCTTCCTTCATCTTCCTTTCCCTCTCAATGTTTCTCTCTCATCTATGTTCTCTCTCTCTCTCCCTTCCTCTCTCTGAAATCAATAAAAACATATTTTTAATAATAATTCAATAAAAAAGCATCCAACTAATTTTATATTTATTCTGAATCATCTGACATCACTTATTGCTGCATAGCATTTTAACAAAATCTCAGTTGGTTGAATAAAATTTAACCAAATCAATAACATTCAGAAAAACCTTCTCTCTTGATTTTAGACCTTTCCACAGCTTAAGACATGTCTTCTTTAACCTCACCTCTCATTCTCTACAGAGTAAATCTGAAAGTCTCTTACTCATTGTGTTTGGACATGGACTTGGAAAGGAGAATTCAAGACATCATCTAATTCTATATCCCCCAGCAGTTAACCACTACCGTAAGCACAGGATGCTTGGGAGAATTATATTGTACCCTTGAAACTTCCAATCTATTATATGCCAAGTTTAGACTTAAAATAATTACTATGACCAAAGAAAGAAAGGGATTCATTTTCATAAGGTTATTAAAATAATGGTAATTATAAATATTTGGATAGTACTTTACAGATTACAAAGTAATTTCACACAGAGTATATCCCTGGACCCTTCTAGCAATCCTATAAGTAGACAGTGAATAAATCATGCCTCCATTTAGCATTTAAAGAAATTTATGATTAAAGTCGTAAAGTGTTTTGCTCTAAGTCATTCAGCTGGTAAGTGACAGATTGGGATTTTAAAACAGGTCTTCTTGCTCCAAAGTCAATATTAATTCTAAAAAGAAATAAATACCACTGACTGCCACAGCAGTTTTCTATCTGCTTACTTTAAGCATTCCTTTGCCCTTAAACCTTTATGTCAGAAATGTTTAAATAAATCGCCAGCCCCCTCTGAAAGTCTCTTCAGTACATCCCTGTATTCATGAAAACTTACTAAGCAAAATCTGCCATATATAGTGCCCATAAAAATATGTCTCGGGGCTCCCACCTGGGGCTGTGCATATTCTGCAGCTACTCAGAAATCTCAGGAAACTTGGTGTCTTAATAGTTACATTTTAGACAAGAATCCTTATAACATGTGTGTGTTTTTTTTCCTTCTCTGCCCTTAAACAGATTGATCTAAAAAGCCTTCAGGCAAAAATCTAAGGGATACAGGGGCAGAGGAGAGCAGTGTAGACATGGAAGTAGGGAGGGGATTCTAGGCAGCAGTCTTTGCAATAATCATACCAAAAACATGGTATGAAGAACTGAAGATGAAGAAGAAGCAGAAGTTCATCGCCAGCCTGTAAGGCCAGAGAGAAGGAGGAAGACACAGCCAGGAAAGAGATGTCAAGCTCAGGAGAGGTCACCCCTGGAGAAGAGTAAAGGCAACTGTTTCAGATTCAACTCAACAAGCAGGAAAGGAAACCAGTGTGTGCACATGTGCACACACACCTACATCACTTTGTCATCCTCTCACTTTGTAGAGTAAGTGAAAATATTCCTATGGTTGGAGGTCATACTGGTTAACCTTGTCATTTTGTGGGTGAGGAAACTAGAGTCCACAGAAGTACAGTTATTTGTCCAAAGCCAGATGTTAGTAGCAGAATAAGGACTAGAGACCTGATTGCTGGTCCCTTGTGTCTTAGCTCTGCCACACACACACTGCCTGCCTCCCAATATTTATATGAATTTGTACTGCTTCTACCAACTTTCAAAGCTCACTTTAAATATATTACGATGATTACTAAAATGAATTTTAATGATGATTGAGTTTACCTCAAAGTATTTAACACTGAGCTAATATAATCTTTCTTAAATCTACTGGGAAATATCCTTACAGTCATTTATATCACTCATTTCCTACAGTAGTTATCTTAGAAAATGGAATGTAGATTAGCTGTCATATTCACTGCTGTGTTTTATTACTTTATCATTATAAATAATGGTCAAGGTTAAAGATAATAGTGTTATTATAAATCTACCCTTAATGCATATAATGGAGTATATATGCTTAATAACTAATAGAGTAATTAAATGCTGAAAATATACATACTGGAAGAAAGAAATACTTTGGACACTGCATAATTATTCTCACAAACTGCAGTGCTCCTTCCCAAAAACACAAGATTCTAGAATCAGTCTTTTTCCTGACCAGAATATTCTCCCCTAAGTGATCTTTAGGAGACAACATAATACTTTCTCAAGACAAGAGGAAAGAATAATCTTTCTCTGTAAGAAAGCAGGAACCACATATAAACTCCTCTAACACTAAAAATTCAAATTAATGTCCCAGGCATTCTCATTAATTAATATTTAACAAAACTCCAGAAAAGTTTTGCTACTAACGTTTCATTTTTCTTAAGGGAAATATAGTACCTAGTTACCTAAATACTACTAGATTTCATCAACACGTTGATTTACCCACTTCATTTAATTTTATCCACTCTGAAAGGGGGTGTCAGAAAGCATGGAGATCACTATCCAGGAGCCTATGCACTACTTCTTAATATTTCTCAAAGTCTCCAAGAGCTAAGTCCCAAAAGTACTAAAGGATGACAGATGTTTAGAAAGTTGTTGAAAGATGACAAATAGAGACCCACAGGGCCTAGAGTGTGTGCTCACAACTGAGCCACCTGTAAATAACTGTGAAATGAATAATCCCATCACACTGTCATAAAACCTCTCAACATCCTACAACCATGTATTCAAAATGTTTAAGTTTGGTTTATTCCATTAAAAGAGCAGAATGCTAAGAATTAATCAAATTAAATGTGCTTACCTTTAAAATAAGTTAAACAGCCCTGCTCAGTTTGGCTCAGTGGAAACAGCTTCTCACTAAGTATTTTTAGATGAAAAAAACTCCATAGCAAACTAAGAACTGCCTGGATTTCTCTTGTATATCCTAAGAACTTTGCCCTTCCACCTAATACTTTCCTTCCAATTAGATGTCATTTTCAATCATTAGGAAGTTTTCCTATATTTGAATTTTTTGGAGAAAGCTTACCATTTCTCACTTCACCAAATGATAAAACCTCAATGGCAAGATTGGACTAGAACTTATACACTGTATTTCAACTCATGATCAGCAGAACTTGAAAGAGACCATTCTCTTTAAATAGGAACCAAGAAAGCTGCTGGGCTGGCACAATACCTGAAGAGTATCCTAAATGTTCATCAGAACATCCTATTTCCTGTTGTCCAGATTATGCTTCATATGCTCCTGCCTGTGTGTTATCCTGATGTACATGTATTAAAGAAAGTAGACTGGTATTATAGAAAATAGAGTTAACTCATTAAAACAAGTTTAAAACATGAAAATGCCTGACACAAAGGATACCAGGGTTAGCAGGCTAATAATTACAAATGCGCAATGAATGTACTATCTAATGCATTTTACAGAGCAGTAAATCTTAAGAAAAATGAAGAAGTTCAGAAACAGAGGAAACTGCAAGTTAAGAACACATATCAACATTCACTTGCTCTCTGACCCATGCCTATTATTCAAAGAGCGATAACAGACCTCCTGATTCATCTCGCCTCTCCCTCCAGCCATCACATACTATATAGAAATGGTCATTTATTTAGCGGAGGCTGGACTGGAAGATTATTAAGATTATTTGATACTTTACATCCAGGAAGTCAACTTTCCCATACACCTTCCAACAAATGGTCAGATAAGTAAAGATGCCTAACAAATTCTTCAAGACTAAAATATCTATCAACACAACACACACATATACACATAATGGTCTATAGGCAACTTTAGATAGACAAGTCACCACTAGCTTCATGACTTTGAGCAAAACCCTGGGGAAAGTGGAAGACAATCCATTATTGCAGTCAAAAACTTTCTTACAGCTCATATTAAATCTGATTCCACCAAGGGAAAAACATCCTCTTCAATAGATTATAGTGCCTTGCCCAAACTTCAAAATTCCAAAGTGAATGAATATTAAACATGTAACTTGCCAAGACTTGGGCTCTCCAAAGTGGAGATAATTAATGCTGTAGAGGTCCATATCCTCGGTGTGCCACGCGAATGTGGTTTTCCACATGCCAAAATAGAGATATGGGGTATTTACACCCTCAATAGAAATACCGCACTCTTCCTCAACCACATCCAAGATAGTATTTAGGCGAGCTATGTTCCATTCATCCACACCCTGGAACCAGGAGAGAGAGAGAAAAAAATCAAACATTATTACACTAGTAAACATAACATTTACTAATCAAACCATCATCTGCCAAAATTATTACACTATATATTTTAATTCACTTAGAAATGAAAAATAAAGCAATTATTATTCAAGAATCATATATATATATCCATTATTAATTCTGCAAGGTTATTATGAGCATAATGTGGTTCTATATAAATATTAGTATAAAACTAAACCAAAGGACTTCCTGATTCCCAACATAAATGTAAGGTAAGTCCCCACTTGCTATTAGCAAAACAATCATTTCTCCAAAACACATGATCTGGAGTGTTTTCTATTTTTGGCACACCTTTTAGTTTTGAGTTATTTCCACTTTGTTTGTTTATTTGTATATTAGTTTAGAAGTCATATTCAACATCAGGTAATATTTCAAGATACCACTAGCAAAATACATGTTCTTTCATCCCTCTCTCATCCCCATCCAATTCAATTTTAGCATGATACATCATTTCCTAAAAATTTACCTCTATTGGAAAAACTCTTAGCACTAGCCTAAGCCACAGTACATTGTGCTTTTATTGCTTCTTCAAGTAAATATTAAACTCTATGTTGATTATGAATTTTAAACACAGAATAGACATTAAAAAAAAAAACTCTTCTCCAAACTTTGGTAGAATTGCAGGAATGATACAGTTTTCTACCAATAGCCCAACATGAAGGGCGATGATAGAGAGAAAAGGTTAGAATTGCTGGTATAAGAGTTAAGGTTATGCCTGGCCAGTGCTCAATGGTTGAGTGTCACCAGTTCGATTCCCGGTCAGGGCACATGCCTCGGTTCAGGGCTGGATCCCCAGTAGGGGGTGTGCAGGAGGCAGCCAGTTGATGATGTTTCTCTCTCATAGATGTTTCTCTCTATCACTCTCCCTTCCTATCTCTTTAAAAATCAATTTTAAAACAGAGTTAGGTTTTTGGAAAAGATTCTGATTTTGTTAGACCTTACCAATCAATTAATTCACTATAGTATTCACAATTACTTAAAAGGTATACAAAATACGTATTTTCCATATGCCTTTCTCATAATAAAATATAAATATCAGAGAATGTGACATTCCAATGCAATCATGAAGGAACTGCAATGCCTTTAAACCCTTCTCAACCTATTCAAGGTGCTATTAAAGACTGACATTGCCCTAGCTGGTGTGGTTCAGTTGGTTGAGCATCATCCCCTGCACCAAAACTTCACTGGCTTGATTCCCGGTCAAGGCACATACCCAGGTTGTGGGTTTGATACCTGGATGGGGTGCATATGGGAGGCAACCAATCAATGTTTCTCTCTCACATTGATATTCCTCTCCCTCACCCTTCCTCCCTCTCTGTCTCTTTCTCTAAAAAAAAAAAAAGTTGCCTTAGCTGGTTTGGCTCAGTGGATAGAGCGTCGGCCTGCAGACTGCAGGGTCCTGGGTTCAATTCCCACTCAAGGGCACATGCCCAGCCTGCGGGCTCAATCCCCAGTAGGGGGAGTGCAGGAGGCAGCTGATCAATGATTCTTATCACAGATGTTTCTATATCTTTCTCCTCTCCTTTCCTCTCTGAAATCAATAAAAATATATTTAAAATAAATAAAAATAAAAATGTTTTTTTAAAAGTCAATAAAAACATTTTTTTAAAAAGGGGGACATTAAATTAATTTATGTATACCCATAAGGCCCTCTCCAATAACTATGCCAATGGCCTCACAGACAATCACATCTAATATTTCTCTTACACACTGAAAATGTACAGGGTTTTCTGTTTTCATTCTGGTCTATAGATTATTCTCTAATCAATGTAGTAATCTTACCTCCTCAAGCTTTTGGGTTAGAAAAATAGTTGATGGAGCAGTTAATGAAGCTCTGCCTCACTTAACATAATTGAAAGTGCCAACAGAAATAATTTAATCCCCAAATTCTCCTAAGTAGTCATTCTATCTTTAACCCCACAGTGGGAAGTTTGCTATTTGGAAATTGGTCAAAGTAAGTGTTTTAGAGAAGATCCTAAGTTCCAACTTATGAAACTTCATAAAAAGTAGATCAAATTATGTAAAATATTTTATCTCTATTTATAGTGATGCAATCTCTTAACCCTAGTCCAATCAGACTTCAGTCCAGTCATTCTAATAATAAAATCCTATTTAAAAGTCATTACTGAGGCAATGAATATGAATATGAATAATGAATATGAGAGCTATATTATAGGAATCATTTTTAAACTGAATGAACTTGCAAATTTAGGAACAAAGCATTCCTCTGAAACTCCTACATTTACAGAGATCTTAACTTTATTACTGACGGATTTTTTTTTTTTTAAATAACTAAGGCATCCTCAGACCTGCAGGTCTAAGGGGATAAGGGCAGAGAAATAAGAATGCTGGCAGAAGACCCAGATTATAACCCCAGCTCTGCCACTGGCCAGGGCAAAAAACACTGAGATTTTCTAAGCTTCCAGTCTTTCTTCACGAAAACATGAGGACTAGCACCTTCCCAGAGATTCATGGAACACTGAGCATGCTAAAGGTCACAAAATGTTTAGAAAATTTCTTAGAATAGATAGAATAAATATCTCCACTATTCTCTAGTACATCTTACTGGAAAGCCTCCCCCAAAAATCACAATCAAACATGTGTAAAGAGATAATAAAGTCCGATAACATGTATTACTGACATTATCCCCATTAATAGGCAAATAACATGTTTTTTGCAAGGTGAAGTAATGGGCAAGGCCAAGGTTGGCATGAGGCTAAAACTGTAACTTCTTTACAAGAAATTATATGAAATTATTGGAATTTCATATAATTTCAATTGAAGAAGTGGTTGAAATACTAAGAATAGCAGGTGTAAAGAGGCTGTAGACAAATTTTACCACTTCAAAATTTCTTCTCCAGTTTCCGTTCTCTACTATTGACTGAACTGGCTAACTGCCTCCAAGGACAGGCTCTATGCAAGCACCAACAAGCACCAGTCTCCTAAACAAACTCAGACAGAGTATGCCTAGTCTATCATTTAGGTGAAGTGTTAACCACACTGTATCTCATTATACTACACATACCTATATACCACACCTATTCAAAACAATCTGGTAACATGGGTAATGTTAAACCTAAATGAACAAATGGGAAAACCTAAGACTCCTCACCAGTAGTCGGTGGCAAAGTTAAACCTAAATCTACCTGACTCCTGAGCCTTCACTTGTAAGCATTATGCTTCCAGTTCTGATCATTTTAAAATACAACATATCATCCTCCTCTCTCAGCAACAATTGTCAACAAAGATCCAAAGAGTTAAAATTTAGGGCAGGCAAAGACATAAAGCTGCCACGTTCTCCCCACCCAGGGGTACAACTGTCCTACACAAATACTGTTCTACACAAACACTGGCAAAGCTTATAATAGAAGCTGCTTTACTTGGGGGTTGGTGATAAAACTGGTGTAATGTAAAGGTCTCCAGAAAGACCTCAGCTACAAACAAGCACCACAATGACAAGTCAAAATCTGCCAAACTGTTCAATGCTTAAAGCTATAGATCTCAGCAGAAAGTCTGCACACCAGCCCAAGTTCACAGACAAATGCCTCTTCCAGATTCTGCCCATCAAATTAACTCTTCTACATGTTCAGCAGGTGCTTGGGGTTATTTGTCACTCTCCTGATCTCCACTGGGCCAATATTTCCTCCTGATTCTCTCCTATCTTCACCCCAATTACCCAGTCAACTTTCTAGATCTGTCCTACTCTGTTTGTCTATTTACCCTGTGTTTGTCTGGTTTTCTGAAATAATTCATCACTGGATCATGATCTGTGCACATATGTGTAACTGAGAATTTTATCAAGGATCTTTCCTTTGCCTTCCACCTATCGGGAATCAGATGGCAGTTTAAAAGAACTCTTCAGTCTTCAATAGCATAACTAGAATCAGGAGCTATTTAAGGGAGTTACTGGCATCAGAGCATGAACGATGCACCCATAACCATCCACAGAGACTGTACCGAAATTGAGGCCACAGCCCTTACCCTCTGGGCCACTTCCACGCCAATGAGCACCCTCTTCTCAGCACTGTGAGCATCCAGCACCCACTCTATAATGACTGCGTTCAGTCACTGGAAAAGTGAAGGATGACACGGCAGCAATAAGACACATCAGAAACTTCACTAATAATGCATCGTTCCCACCTAATACAGAGAAATGATGCAATATCATCGTAAACCAATTTTCCCCAAACTATTTCTAATGGAACGTTAACCCTACCAGAGGCTGTGGTCAGAAACACTTGGCTTCCTTTTCTCCTCCTCTTAGTCACGGTGCTGACAGGTATTCCGAGGCTCTGAGAGGCCCTACTATAGAAACCTATTTAATTTTGCTTAACTCCGTGTTTCCCAAATATTATTTGACCACAAAACCTTGTTTACATACTCCATTACCTTCTGTAAAATAGTACTATGTGGGACAACACACCAGGAGAGGCATTCTACTACACTGTTCCCTCTGTGCCTCAGCCGAAACGTATCTCAGTAAACAGAAAATAACTCCAACCACAAGGAGAGGGCATTTAAGAACCCATATTCCAGCTGGAATATGGTCACATCTGTTGTTTTTATGACACACATATGTAATTTGATTGTGTCACCTACAAATACACAGAGATGGTATAAATTAAAAACATCCCAAAAGGTATTGATAAATGAAGATGGACTAAAAGATTAAAAGTAGGAAGAAAAGAGGGAAGACTTAAACAAACTTTTAACCCTACCAAATGTGCTAGCAAGCTGAGAATGGGCTTTTTTTTATTTTTAAGGACATAAAAATGAGGGCACACCCATCAAAGACTATAAAAAGGTTATTCTGAGATAAAAGACAAATTAATAAACTCATAAAAATCATGATTAACACACACTCTCTTCTGTCTTCACCCAGCAAAAAGCAAAATGAAATGAATTTTTTTTTTCTCAGAGAATGACACAATATCAGAAAAGTAGC